CCGGTTGCACTGGGAACCCCACGCGTGTGTCCGGGCCCCTCCTGGAAGCAGCGTTGAGGGCTCCTGCGTGGGCAGAGTGCCTGAGGCAAGATATAAAACGGGCTCTTAAATTAACAAAAATGGAGCGGAACTCGGAGCTTCTGCTCTATCTCATGAATTTAAATGACTAAGCATCTGATCTGACTAGAGCAATACTGATGTTATGCTTTAAGCCTCCCCTAACTGTATGTCCCAACGTTGGTGTTTTTTCTTCAATCACTATGTTAAGGAAGCCTGTTAATATTCCTGCTTGACAAGGGTGTTGTTTAAAAGGAGAATAGGGGAACAGGTGTTTCCAGAAAATTGCCTAGGAGTCTTGGCCTATGCTGAATGTAATAGCTGATGATTCTGTAGATGCATTTGTATTATCACAGTGCTAAACATCCTCTGTGATGGCAAAACACATCCTCCAAGCAGCAGCCTCCTATTTTTGTTTCTAACTTGGGTGCTTAGCTTAAAACCTGAGTGGCTCTGCAGTGCGGAGATCAAAAGCTGGGAGAAGGGCACCCAAGTTCCCTGTAAACATTACTCGGGAAATATTTATAAAAGCAAACATTGTCTGTGGCTGTGTGTGTGGTTGGTGAAAGTGTATTTTGGGGAATTTTCTCATGATTCATAAGACTGAGTATTCCACGTACGGAGTTGGAATGCTTGGAGGTGGTTTTATTTCAGCTTGTTATGGTAGTGATGCTTGTGCCTGGTCTTCCTGGCACCCTGTGCAAGGGAACCCAGATCCATAAAGAGTGTTAGTGAAGTGGTGAACCTCGTCTACTCAAGATAGCCATGTAGCTGCCTGATCGTGGGTGTTTGGTGGAGGTTTGCCTTTATGGAGAAAGTTACAAAAGAGCTGGTGATACTTGCAGTACAAAGATTTGGCCTAAGCAGAAATAATAGCTCCTGAAAGGAGAGTTTCAAAATAGCAGGAATTACCATGTTGGCGATTGAAGCTAATGCTGTGATTGCGTGTGGAAAATGCCACGTTTGTCCCAGCTGTTTGTATGTGTGTTCTGAGCGAGAACAGCTTAATTCTGTGGGCATGGGAATCGATGAAACTTCAGAGTAGCTGTTCTGGCTACTCCTACAGTCCAAGGAGGTGAAAATCCTGTTAAACAGAAGCTTTTTCTCAACGTGGTACTCCAGCCTGTATGCTTCTTTGACTGCTGGAACATCCTGTAAATCTGAAGTTTCATCTGCTGTTTGCTATTGCTGAGTTATTTTCTATTTCCAGTGTTGGTAGCCTTATATGAAGAACCAGAGAAACCAAATAGTGCATTGGAGTATCCTTTTTTATTTGTCAACTGTTCATAGAAACTTAATGCAACACACAAGTGGTATTTTTGACTCCTGGATGAACGGGAAAGGCTTGTATGGAACACTTAAGCTTAGAAGAAGCTTTTAGATATTTTAGTTAACAATAGCAGTCTTGCAAGTGGCTCTTGATCAACAAAGTACAACAGACAACTGGAAACTCCTCTTAAGCTGAACTAGCTGCTCTGTCAACCTCTAGACTGCTGACATTTCCAAGCCACTGTGTTTCTGTTGCTGGCTGCTGTTTATCACCAAAGAATTTAACAAACAAATGTAAAATTCTTCGTGGCTGAGAACCTTTCAGGTCAGCGAGCTAACTCCAGCAGGGGCAAGAAAGCCACACACATCAGTATGACAGCAGTTAGCCCAAACCTTATTTGTGTATTAAAGAATGTTGTATCTGCAACATCAGATTTGATTGTTTACTGTATTTGTGGTGTCTGAAGTCTCTTCCATTTTCTGACACTGACTTTTTTTTTTAACACAAAAGAGCAAGGAAAAAATATGTAGTGTTTTGAGTGTTTTGTCTTGCTCTTTCTAAGCTTTTATTTTATTTTTTACTATTTTTGCACCTGGTGTAGCAAAACATTTGCTTTTGTCTAGTAATGCCTTTATTTTAGGAATTTGCTAGTAGTTTTAAAGCTTTCTTATTTGTGTAACTTCTGCAGAATAGTAATAATTTTTAAAAAGTAGCAATGTAAATGGTTTAATGCAATTTTAGGCATGTTTACATATTTATTCCAGCCACCAGTAGCTTAATTGTAAGTGTTAGAACTAAAATTAAGTTATACTGTTTAACTGAGGAAATACTTAACATCTAAATATCAGCTTTCTAAAGCATCATCTAGGAGCTTCAGCTCCTGAAAATCCAGAAATAGAGGCACTTCGCTTGGAAGCAGCAGAGATGAAAGAAAAATATGAAGCTGTGCTGGAAGAGAATAAAAAACTCAAAAGCAAGGTAAAAAGTCTGCTTAGTGTTCCTAAGGAGTTCTGTATTTCACAGCAGAAAGACTGCTTTGATACTTTCAATACAGCTACCTTTATTTCAATGTAGTAAGTAAATGTTGTTTCTTAGTCACAAGCTTAACAATGCAAAATTAATTCATTCCTCACTTCCACCTACTGAAGGCTTCTTGATTGGGAAGAGACTTGTTTTCTGTAATATTGTATTGTTAACATACATGCATATTTTGGTATGTATATGTATTTTTAAGGGTCAGTTAATCACATATCTTTGATCCATCTGGATGTTTTAAAATTGTTTGATACTAAATTGCTTATGCTTCCTCAAGAGCTTTTTTTTTGTAATAAAAAAACAAGCTAATATATAAAAGCTATATAACCATGAAAGCTCTCAAAAGGCTGTTTGAGGGAGGAAAAACATATGTACTAGTTCAGGCCCCCACACCTGATTTGCCTGTAACAGGATATTATGGGTAGAGGCACTTTATTTCCCCCAGAACAGCTAATTTTACTAAAACAAATCTGACGTGCTTGTATCTGCAAAGAGAGTCTATTGGAAGTGCTAGCCAATACAAACCTGTGCTTTTATGGGTCTACAGGCTGTCTGAAACAGTTCTGAGATGTGGACAACTTTCTGCATACGCTCCAGAAAGCATAATGAAAATTGTGATAATTGTAGGAAATGTTAGTTTGGGTGTTATTGCTAATAACAACTGGTTAATTCAATCATTCTGGTGAAAATTGAAGCATAAAAGATATTAATCAATATCAGCTGCTATTTTTGAATAAAAGCACTCTTAAGATGCAGAGCAGGAAACAGGTAAAAACTAAATGCAAGACAGAAGTTTTCAAGTATATTTGCAGATCCTCCTTTTTCTAGCTGCAGGAATAGACAGTGCAGCAAGCAGGTGTTTTCAAAGAATTATTATTTTGTTGAAAGGACTTGCATAAATCAGTGGTGATTAAGAATGCACAAAGTAAGTGCAGCACTACTGGGGCAAACTGTTTACTTAATATGGGAGTTTTATCAAAAATGCTGCAGCTAAGTTCCTCTTTTTACATCCACAGCTGGCTCAGTATGAACCACCTCAAGAAGAGAAGCGTGGTGAATAGCAATAGTTTCTTCTTTAATGCCTTGACTGAATAAAGGGCTTCCTGAGAACTGCAGTCCTGACTTCTTCTGTGTGTGAACTCTGCATCTTTATCGAGTTATCTCTTCTTTAAAAGAAAAAGGCCACATTGTGTATACAGCTGTTTTTGTGTAGCTAAAGCAGCAACTGGTAGGTTAATACAGACTTGTCAACTTCTTTTTTTTTCCTTAAGAAATGCTGATGGTTATAACAAACCAGAGGGTGATAGGTCAAGCATTCATTCCATAAAAACACTCATTGCATAAAAAGAATGGATATGTTTTTGTTAAGTGATGGACATACCACACTGTTGGAAAGGCATTACCAAGTAGGTCAACTGTCTGCTCAAGCATTCATTCCATAAAAACATTCTATAAAAAGAATGGATATGGTTTTGTTAAGTGATGGATGTACCACACTGTTGGAAAGGCATTACCAACTGAACTTTGTTTGCGTAACATGTACCTATTTCTCTGTAGCTCGCATCCACAATCCTGTTTCACAGACTGGACCTTGGGGAGTATCTCAAGGTACCATCTGGATTGTTTTCCACAGGCTGCCTAATCCTTGCTCCAACAGCTACGTCCTGTGTGATTAGAGTGCCTAGCAGAGTGAGAGTTGGGGAGTTTGCCATATGATTCATATAATGTGGAAAGGAAAATCCCTGAGGCCAGTTTTGTGGGCACAGCAGAAAATCCAGGAGGTGTGTGTGACTTGTGATTTCTCATTTCTCTTCAGGTTCTGTGGCCCCTATTACTCCCAATCAGACTCGCAGCTCCTCTCAAATACAATGTTATGCTTCACGAGAGGTGCATCTCAGAGAACGTTTTTCTTTTTTCCTAAAACTAGGTACTTTAAAGGCAACTGCTGGTAGGAAAAATAAATGGCTTCTCATTTCCCTTCAGGTTCTGTGGCCCCTGTTACTCCCAGTTGGCGTCACAGCCCTTCTCAAATACAATGTTATCCTTCACAAGAGAGGTGCATCTCTGAGAACGTTTTTCTTTTTTCCTAAAACTAGGTACTTTAAAGGTAACTGCTGGTAGGAAAAATAATGGGGGGAGGGAGGGAAAGGCTATAGTTCTGTGTTTGATCTACTTGCTATTTTTTTTCCTTAGAATGAGAATTGTAGCTGGTGTACAGGGGTAGTAGCACGCAGAAGCTTATTTTGTTAACAGCAGTGAATAAGGGCTACTAAATGTAACTGCTACTCTGCCTCTTCTTAGCCCAAAGAGAAGAAAGAAACTAAAAAGAAGCATGTTGTGTTCAGTTAAGGAAAGACAGTAAAAGAGTTAAGATTCCCATGGGGGTGAGGACATGTCCTCGCTATAAAGCTGTGCCCATGACAGGGGGAGAGATGAATAACGCGGCGAGGAGCTCGCACGGCTCAAAGCGTGAGGCGAGGAAGCGAAGGGCGGAGGAGCCGCCGCAGCCG